GGCGGTGGCGGCTCTGAGTGTGGTGAGTGCGGGGCTCTACAGCCTCGTCGATGACGTCATGCCCATGCTGCGCTCCTTCGCTGTCTGCCCCGCCACGGTCACGGCTCAGAATGCTGCCGGTAAGCCGCGCTGCTGGAGGGGATTGTTGGAGGGGTGGAAAGTGTTGAATGACGGACGGCCGGAGATGTGGCTGCTGGTTCGTGCCTCTCCGCCACTTCCCACTCTGCATTACTGCTGCACTCGCCCCCACCCCACCACGTGCTGCACTCGCCCCCACCCCACCACGTGCTGCAGTCTTGTGAGCCCATTCCAGGGCCATTCATGCACTGCCACGTTTTTCGTCCTCCCTCCCCTTCCACCCTCTTTCCTCGGCTCCCCACTTACCTGTTACCCCCGCGCTGCTATCCTCCATGCTGCTTGTACACCCACTTGGATGTGTGTTTCTGCTGGGCTGCCAGTCCAACCCTAGGTTTGCATGAACAATGTCAAACCCGGGCCGTCCACACTCGAATATGGTCCAGCTGGCAACCGTGCCGGGTTGAACCTAGCAGTTGAGGATGGGCCGTCACGGTCCTGATCCGACAAGGTGACTTGTGACTCACCCACCAGATCTGCATCAACGAGCGTTGCACCCGCAAGTGCGCGGCAGACCTGGCATTTCACGCACCAACTGTCGGTGGATGTGACACATGCGCGGATCCACGCCTACCCCTCACATTGCGTGCGGATCTGTGGATCTTGCAATCTGCCTGCGCATCCTCATGCATCTCGCATTTTGCCAGCAGATCCGCGCCACCCAGGAAGGCTATACCTCACCAGACCTCCCAAAGCCAACCCATTCGTAACCTGAGAACATCACACTAGAGGGACGTTTTCAAGGTGAAAGTGCACAACGTAACACTCTCATTCTTAAGCGTCATCACCTTCATTCTCTCGTTCAGCAGCAGAGCCAGCTGCTCATCGTTAACAGCTGCTCGTCGTTAACAACTGCTCGTCGTTAACAGCTGCTCGTCGCTAACAGCTGCTCGTCGCTAACAGCTGCTCGTCGCTAACAGCTGCTCGTCGCTAACAGCTGCTCGTCGCTAACAGCTGCTCGTCACTAACAGGTGCTCGTCGTTAATAGCTGCTCGTTGTTAACAACGTCCTTCACGCCAATCTTGCTCCAAGCCCTCCCACGACCTGCCACATGGTTGCCTCCTTGCCCTTCGTCCCTTGTTGTCCCTCGCCCTTTCACTAGCCTTCTACCATGCTAAGGGGTGTGTTTGGGTACCATGTGTGCTATGCTACTATGCTTGTGCACTGAATGGGATGATGTACTTATACTATCCAGCCCCTGCTCCGGTGGATTCTCGAAACACAAGCAATCATGGTTGATCAGTTCAACCACGACAGCCACCACCAGTGGTGTGGGGCTAACCTCGCCACCAGTGGTGTGGGGCTAACCTCGCCACCTCACACGCGTGAATTGCCGCTCCAACCACATTACAGAGCAACCTAATCATGTCCTCTCATCCCACCTGTCAATCAATCCATCGCTCCCTCTCACAACCTCCCCCTTTCCTTTTTCTCCTCTGTCCGGGCTCTTCCCCTGGCGCATCACCCCGCCTGCTGGCACCAGTGCTGCCCATAATGCTGTCGTCCAAGCTGCTGCCGGAGATGGAGGTGGAGGGGCGGGCAAGAGAGGAGGCGCTGAGGGGGCCACTGGCAGCGCTGCCCGTGGCGCAGCAGCTCGAGCTTCTGCAGCTGCAGGTGCCCGACTTCCCACCTCCTTCCCTCGCCTCACCTCGCCTCCCCTTGCTGTGCCTCCCCTTGCCGTGCCTTGCCTTGCCGGGTGGAGCAGCGGTGGTGGGATGCCCATCGCCCTGTCAAGGCCATTCTTAGTGCTTCCTTGCTCATCACCCGCACACTTGCTCTCATCTCTCTGTCCCTCGCCACTCTCCTCTCTATCACTTCAGTAATCAGCAGTCCCTCTTCTCTCTCTATCACTTCAGTACGCAGCACTCCCTCTCCTCTCTCCCTCACGCCGCGTCGCGCCCTTCCCTCCACCACCGCAGGCAAGTGTGGATCCCGTGTAACTGAGCGCACCTCACAGCCTTGTCGTCGCCACTGCAGAGCGCCTGTGCCTACGGAAGGCACACGCCTGCCTCTCTCACACGCCTCGCCTCTCTCACACCCTCGCCTCTTCCTTCCCTTGGTGCCATCTATCCCTGCCCTCCCCTCCCCTCGCCCCCTCCTCCCCACCCCATGGGCAGGCGAAGATGGTGGACGTGGCGTGTGAGCGCGCGGAGAAGGTCATTCTCGATGCGCGCAAGGCGCACGCCATCGGGGCACGCCAGGCGGCGGCCAGCGTGGCGGCGCTGTACGGCGCGGGCAGCTCGGACAAGGCTGCTCTCGCCCGCGTCGCCGACCAGGAGAAGCTTCTCAGAAATGCGCTGGCCACTGGCGAGGGTGTGTGGGGGGGAAGGGCGTTGGTGGCAGCTGCTGTGTTTCGACCCATGTGCAGCATGATAAGATGCTCACATCCTCACGTACACCCGTCTCACCACGCACCCCCACCCACCCCTTGCACCCCGCACCTCCACCCACCCCTCGCACCACGCACCCCCACATACCCTTCTTGCCATGCACCCCTCAATTTTGCCTTGCTCACCTCACCCCTCCTCCACCTTCCCACCTCTCACCACAGATTTCTCTTCATGTCCTCCTTCCCCACTGCGCTCCCTTCCCATGGCGTCAGGGTTCCGAGTGCCCACCCAGCCGGCCGCTGCTGGCCCTGCCCCTCCCGCCCTCCGCGCGTTTCCAAGCCAGGCAGCGCCAGCAGCAGCTGCCCTGCCGCCACACATGCAGCCGCGCAAGAGGAAGCACCCGCATGACGCCACTACCACTGCTGCACTCGCACCTGCTGCTGCCAGCGCTGCTGCCGCCACCGCCACTGCCACTGCCGCTCACACTGACGTGCCTGCCTCATCACCCGCTGCGCCTGCCTGTACGTTGCCAACTCTCTCTCCCTTGGCCCCCATCCCCTCTCTCTTCCCTGCCCCTGTCCCCTCTCTCCCCTGCCCCTGTCCCCTCTCTCTTCCCTGCCCCTGTCCCCTCTCTCCCCTGCCCCTGTCCCTTCTCTCTTCCCTGCCCCTGTCCCCTCTCTCCCCTTGCCCTGTCCCCTCTCTCTTCCCTGCCCCTGTCCCCTCTCTCCCCTGCCCCTGTCCCCTCTCTCTTCCCTGCCCCTGTCCCCTCTCTCCCCTGCCCCCGTCCCCTCTCTCCCCTGCCCCCATCCCCTTTCTCCCCTGCCCCCGTCCCTTCTCTCCCCACACCCCCCATCCCCCGTCTCCCCTGCCCTCATGTGCTCTATCTGCCGCCAAGCATTGTGTGTTGGCACCTGTAGGCACGGGCCGCAGTTCACCCAAATCATGCAAACCCGCGCGCAGTGTTATGCCATTCCATCCCTACTCATCCTTCGCTTTCTATCCCACTCATTCCCTTCCACACTGACCTTCTTCCTCCCCATCCCCTCCCACTGCCGCTCCCGCCCCATGCAGCGGCACCCCTTCCTCTGCCGCCCACCGCATCTGCCGCTCCCTCCCTTACCCCATCGCACCCGCTCTCCTCCGCTACTGCTCGCCCCTCCCCGCCCACCGCCCCTCTTGCCCCCTCGCCCGCGTCGCCCTCCCCGTTCACTCCTGCTGCTGCCGCCGCTGCTGCCAGTGCAGTGGGTGGGGCGGCACCGCGGCTGCCCGGTGCAGCAGCGGGGTCGGCATCTCTGCCTGTGCGCCCCTCCACGGCTCCGCTCACCACCCCCTTGCCCTCCCTCTCCACCGCCGCTCCCGTCGGCATCGCACGCCCGTCTGCTGCAGCCAATCCCATGCTGACAGCTGGCGGTGGGGGCAGCACAGGAGGGGGATCGGGAGCGCCGACGATGTTGCTGGGCATGCCGAGTGGCATGCGCACGTTTGAGGGGCTGGGAGGGGCGCTGCTGGGCGTGCCGGGGGGCTGGCCCAGTGCCATGCCCGGCTCCGCAGGCGGAGCCTCTGCTGGAGGAGGAGCGGTGCCGCTCGGCCGAATGCCGCCCTCAGGCTCCAATCTGGTTCGGCCGAACGTACCCATGGGGGGGTCTAGCCAAGCTGCAGGTGCAGGGTTGGCAGGTGCAGGCAGTACAACAGGAGGAGGTGGTGGGATGGGTGTGCCTGGCGCAGCAGTGGGGTCTGGTGGGGCTGCAGCAGGGGGCATGGGGGACTTTGCTGGTGCTGGCGCCCCTTCCCACGCAGGACCAGCAGCGATGGGCAGGGCAGAGGTGGCAGGGGGGGTTGGAGGAGGAGCGCTATCGGCACTGGGTGCCACCATGGGGGCAGCAGGGCCCATAGCAGCGCCACAGATGAGAGGAAGCTACACTGCACCGTCCCCGGGCAACCTTGGGCAGGTAGCATCTGCACAGATGCACCTTGCCACGAGCCCCCCCCAGTACGGCCTGCAGTCTGGCACGGGCGGGTTGTCAGCCCCGTCGCCCCCCGTGTTCCAGGCTCCGTCGCCCGCCCTGTCGTACAACGCACCCTCGCCGCAGCTCATGCACACCTCCCACCCGCACTCGCCCATGCTCCCCGTGCAGCACCAGCAGCAGCTGCAGCAACAACAGGCAGCCTCGCCCATGCTTCCTGGTGGTGGGGGGGGGGCGGGGCACGGGGGAGCGCAGCTTCTGCAGCAGCCGATGGCATCGCTGAGTCAGCAGAGGCAGATGCAGCGACTGCACCTGCAGAGGCAGAGGCAGCAGCAGCAGCAGCAGCAGCAGCAGCAACAACAGCAGCAACAGCAACAGCAGCAACAGCAGCAGCAGCAGCAACAGCATTTCAACTAGTGGAGGCGCATGTTACCACAAGAACTGCATGGGTTGCAAGTGGGGGTGATGACAGTGTGACGCCTTGGTGGGGACCGGACCAGGTCTTCAAATTGGATTCAGGGCGGGCAGGCTGAAGGATCAGTGTTCCCTGCCCAAAGTAGTGTCCAAATCAGTGTTAGGGGTTGAGTTTATACTGGTTTTGTCAGTGCAAAAAAAAAACATCACACACGGCTCAACAATGCTGGGGTCCTTGTCAGATGTTATAGTCTTAGTGATGTGTGTCATATGGGGTGCAACAGTTAGGGTTAGGTTTATGTACCCCAACCAACCTTAGTGAAACCATCATTCCGTTCTTGACATGGTATCACCTAAGTTAGGATCTTGTGGGATCCCGTTCCTCTCGTTCACGTCCATAGCGCCCGAGCCTGTTTCGTACCCTAGTGCCCGTTACGTCCGTACTGTCCCCTAGCGCCTATCGCGCTCGTCTCTCTCGTGCCCTAGCGCTCGCTGTGCCTGCCGTCGCGTCGCCCCTGCTGTCCCGTCCCGTCGCGTTGCCCCTGCTGTCCCGTCGCCCCTGCTGTCCCGTCGCGTCGCCCCTGCTGTCCCGTCCCGTCGCGTTGCCCCTGCTGTCCCGTCGCCCCTGCTGTCCCGTCGCCCCTGCTGTCCCGTCGCCCCTGCTGTCCCGTCGCGTCGCCCCTGCTGTCCCGTCGCGTCGGGCTGTCCCGTCGTGTCGTGTCCGTCCCGTCCCGTCGCATGCGCCGCGCCTGTCCGTCCCGCCGTGTCGCGCCGTCCGTCCCGTCCCTTCCCGTCCCGTCCGCGTCGCGCTGCCCGTCCCGTCCCGCCGCGTCGCGCCTGTCCGTCTTGTCCGGTCGCGCCGCGCTGCCTGTCCCGTCACGTCGCGCTACCCCTGCCCGTAGCGCCGCGCCCTTCTAGTCCCGCCGTGTTGCGCCCTACCCTGCATCCCGTAGCGCCCTAGGCCTCCAACTCTGCCAGTCACGCCCTGGTAAGCTGCTCTAAGTGTTTAGGGTTTCGGCAGCAGCACTTCCCACCTTTTGCTTCCGCTATGGCGACCCCTAGGGTTCTGCGCTTTGACGCCGAGGGTAGGCCGCTCGAGTACTCGGTCTGGCTCCTGCGTGCTTGCCGCCTTTTAAAGAGAGTCAGGTTCAGGCAGATGAGTCTCTGTGGGCGCACGCTTCCGGCGACCTTCCTAAGCCCGACGACCCTGCACCCTTAGGCGCTGACCCAAACAGTGTAGACAGAGACCATGATGCCCGCCAACGTGCTGACCTGACAGTGTGGAAGTTGTTCACGGGAGTAAAGTGTTGGCCCCGCCCTCGCTTGGGCAACGCCAACGACTTGGTCGGATGTACGGGAGTAGCAGCCGACCATCCACAATGGGAGAGCTGCTCGACAGGCTTCGTCGAGCTGCAGGGGACCGCTGTGGTGTTGCTGTTGACCAGGGAGCTCGACAGCTGCAACTGACTGGTCTGGGCGACGGGTGGGCCGTCGACCAGGAGGGGCAGTTCGACTGGGAGGTCGACGGAGCAGTCCGTCGACCTGAGAAGTGAGCAGCGGTCGACGAGGGGAGCTCGTCGACAACAGCTGACAGTTCTGGTCGACGGAAGGGGTCCATCGACCAGGCACACCTGGTAGCTTGATGGGAGCTGTGGTCGATCAGGGACACCTGGTGATCGACCAGAGGGACCCGGTGGTCGACCAGAGGTACTTGGGGTTGTCCAGGTCGACCGGGTAACTTGCTCGGCGAGTTCTGCGGAAGCACGCAAACGTCGTCAAGGTCGCGATGGCGAAGGCGACTTCGGGATGGTATCCCGAAGTCGATGTGGCTCGTCACGTGCAGACAACAGCCGACGAATGCACAATGGTGCAAGTCGGGCCGATCGTCTGCGCGCATCTACGAGCGTGCGCACTGCTGTCTTCTATGGGGCAACGCTGGACAATCGCTCAGCTACAGCGTTGGCACACCGTCGACCTGCTGTGTTGGCAGGTCGCCTTTTTGCAGTGCTGGCACGGCTCCTCTACGCAACCTGGCAAGCGGTCGACCATGCTGTGCTGTCTGTCGACCAGGCTAGCTGCAGAGTTGCTAGGTGCCTGATGTAGTCATTGTTGTCATTGTTTGTTTTACAATTCTGAGAATTCCAACTTAGCTAGTGGAAACTCTTGCCAATTTCTCCCGTGATTGTGCAAGCACTAAGGAACTAGGCAAAGCTTCGATCACTCATAGTAGTTCGTGCCAACCCCGAAGTCTAGCTCACTACCTTTGTATAGTGAATCTCCGCATGGTGCGGTGAGCGTGGACGGCCCCGCAGATTACCTTCAGATAGGAGCCGACTTTTGCACCTACTAAGTCGTTCGTAGGCCGACAGCAGCGCTAGTCACCATGGTCGACCCCGTAGCTAATGCGGGCGTAGCGGACACCTTGGAGACATGCTTGGCTGATGCGAGGAAACGCCTCGCGGATGGCGAGTACGGGACAATCCCCTTGCTGATCGTCAAGTTGGGCATCCGGTGGCAGTGGGCGACGGAACACCCATCTCGTCCTGTTTCTCCTCCACCGGTGCGAAACAAAGGTGGCGTCGACGACGAGGTCGACGGCGGTGCACGAGTCAGCGACAACAATGGCACGAAGCAGAGAGGAGTGATCAAGGTCGACGGTGGCGTCGACAGGAGTCAGGCGCGAGTGCAGCAGTCAACGGCAGCTGCAGGCAGCTCGCGTGCCGACGTCGATGGCCGACGTCGCTCTCCTCTACGAGGCGGTGGAGGGCTCTCGGCGACGACGCATGTGACGGCGGGCGGTATTAAACCGACGTATGGCTACTTCAAGTTTTCTCCGGACCGGATTACCGTCGCACCTCTGCAAGGTCGACGAGACCTCATCACCTGAAGGGAGTCGATAGAACCTCAGCTGGAGGTCGCCGGGCTGAAGGGCTTCGCCGACGGCACAGTGCCGATTCCGTCCGTGGACGATGTCCGGCTACGCGGGGAGTTTCGTGCGGCTCACTTGCTCACCTTCATGGTCATCTCGAGGTGCTGCTTGCCGGTGGTGCAGCTGGTGCTCACGAGCTGTCGAGAGCGACTGGATGCTGGCCACCAGGCATGGCACTTCATCCAGTCGACGTACCAGGTCAGGGACGACCTGTACATCGCACAGCTGGAGGAGAAGATGACTCACATTCGAATGGGCGAACAGGAGTCTACAACGGACTACTGCAATCGTGCTCGACGGATCCTGGCTGAGATGCGGATGGCGGGCGCCGAATACTTGACGGCGTCCTACATCTCCCACATCTTCAAGGGCCTGCCGTGCGACTACAACCTTATGAAGAGGATGATGATGGTACCCGGGACGCGCGAGTCCCTCGACGAGGACTCCATCACCAGCTATATTTTTCAAGACGAGGCGATGCAAGAGGCCGAACAGCCCACAGAGCTCCTTCCTCAGGTAAACTACGCTGCACCGACAAAGCTGAATCGGCAGCAAGGGCAGCGCAGGAATCCGGGTGGAGGTGGGCGGTCGACAATGGACGTCGACGAGAAGAGGTCGACGTGGGGTAAGGGCAGAGGAGGTGGTGGTCGACGGCGGGAGTGTTGGATCTGCCACGATCCCGACCACCTTTCCTACGAGTGTCCCGACCATGATGACAACGACGAGGACGACACCAAGGGAAGCCGTGGTCGCTCGACCAGCCGTCGCCCACGTCGAGACGTGAAGCCGCGCAAGGAGAAGCAGACGTCGAAGAAGACGTCGTCGACGAAGGACGTCGACAACTCCAGCGGTAGGAGCCGAGGCGACGGGGAGGCATCGTGCTCGATGGTTGGCGTAGTGGAGCCGACGGTCTCGCTAGCACCGGAGGCTGGCGAGGACGTCCAGGCGGTGGCGGCAGCTGTGCAAGCCAACCCGATGGCAGTGCTACTCGACAGCGGCTGCTCCCACCATTTGATGGGGATGAAGGCGGTCTTCGTCGACATGGCGCCGAGCGACGGCGTGAAGAACGTGTGTGGATTCAACGGGGCACTACAGCCTGTTGAAGGCCGCGGAACCGTCGTTCTGCAAGGGGAGGCCGGAAAGCGGGTCCTCATCCCCGACGTGCTATACGTTCCGGGCATACAGGCAAACCTGCTATCTGCCAGCCAGCTGAAGGAGAGCGGAGTGCAGCTGCAGGGCGACGGCGATGAGATGTTGCTCGTCGCCGCGACCAGGGAGGTGCTCGGTCGAGCACGCTACAACGGACGAGTTCTCTGCACCGACCTTCGCCCCTGCTCGATGCGATCGTCGCCGACCGAGGTGGTGGCTCTACGAACGATCGTCTCGGCGAAGAAGTCGACCCCTGACTGGTTGCATGCGAGACTCGCGCACGTCAGCGTCGAAACCATCAAGAGCTCGGCGAAACATAAAGTTGCTACTGGGCTCGACATCACTCCGTCGACCGGAGCAGACCCACCATATGTCTCGTGCGTCGGAGGAAAGCTGGCGCGGCACACCTTCCCCGACAAAGGCTCGGACGCCGAGGAGGCGTTGGCTGTCGTGGACATTGACTTGTGCGGGCCATTTCGGGTTGTAGCCAAGGATGGCAGCTTGTTCTTCCTGCTGCTGAAGGATCGCCACACTCGATTTGTGTGGGTGATGCCGGTCGCTAAGAAGAGCGACGTGCTGCGGGAGTTCCAGAAGTGGCTGGTGCTGGTAGAACGGCAGGCGAAGAAGTTGGTGCTGATGCTCCGGTCAGACCGGGGAGGGGAGTTCCTCGGGAAGGAGTTCACCGACTTCGTCGACGGCAAGGGCATCATCCACGACCTGACGTGCCCTTACACTCCGCAGCAGAACGGCATGGCTGAGTGGGAGATGCGCACTGCCGTCGAGTCCGTGAGGACGATGCTGCTGCACATGGACGTGCAGCACCACTGGTGGCACCTCGCTCTACGACAAGCTGTCTGGGTGCGCAACTGTTTGGAGCGGTCGACGACGCCGCCGGGGACTACTCCGTACCAGCTGCTGACCGGGA